TTCTTCCAGGAGTCTGACCTCCTCCCTATAGGCCGTCTCATCGTCCTCGCTGATCAGACCTATTACGGCGGTATCGTCAGCAAACTTCAGGATGGTGTTGGAGATGTACTTAGCTACACAGTCATGGGTGTAGAGAGAGTAAAGCAGGGGGCTCAGCACACTGTCCTGCGGGGTGCCAGTGCTGATGGTGATGATGGAGGAGGTTTTTCCACCAGTACGCACTGGCTGAGGTCTGTTGGTGAGGGAATCCAGTACCCAGTTGCGCAGTGAAGAGCTAATCCCCAGATCCAGGAGTTTAGTGATGAGCTGGGATGGAATGACGGTGTTAAATACGGAGCTGTAGTCCACAAACAGCAGCCTGGCATAACAGTTCATGTTTTCCAGATGAGACAGGGTGGTGTGGAGTGTTATGGAGATGGCATCCTCCGTGGACCTGTTGCTATGATAGGCAAACTGGAAGGGGTCCAGACTGTCAGGGATGATGTCCTTGATGTGTTCTAGCACCAGCCTCTCGAAGCACTTCATGGCTATGGGAGTAAGCGGTACTGGACGGTAATCATTAAGGCAGTCTGTTTTATTTTTCTTAGGGACAGGGATGATGGCTGAGTGCTTGAAGCAGGTGGGGACAGATGAGACTCTCAGAGACGTATCAAAAATATCCGTAAAGACAGCAGCTAGTTGGTCGCAACATGTTTTTAAGACGCGACCCGAAACTCCGTCTGGGCCGGGTGCTTTACGGATGTTGAGTCGGGAAAAAGTCCTCCTCACGTCATCCTCGGAGAGCTTCAGGCTGGAGTCTTGTGGCGCTGCTTCAGTCTTTGAAGCTTCTTCCACCTCCCTTTCGCTCAGAGCTTTCGGGATGGCCCTCACAGTAATGAATCGCACATATTCATCTGATTCATGTGCATGATTGTTATTGCAATGTTTGTGCTCATTCTCAACACTCTGAGATTCACTGCTGTATCCTTCCCCAAATATTGCTAACCATCCCCTTTGATGACAAACTCATCATATTCATTAGCATCTGATCCTAGTTTCACACTTGAAACCTGAAACTTTTACAGGTAATGGTTGACTAAATGAATAAGCAGACAATTTTCTCTCTGCCTCTGGAACATAAGTAGTCCACACCTTGAACCATCAATCAGGGTTCATTAATTGGAATCATAAGAATGGTATTTTCGTCCTATATACTTTCAAAAATATTTCTATACCATTACATTCATGGCACTTCTGAGCTCTTGCTGGGCATTTCGGGTCTTTGCCAAAATGACCTGCACTTCCACGTAGCAATGCTGTTCTGACTTACTTTTCTGTGGGTGTTGTGGTCATTTGGGTTTCGCTTTGTTGTGTCTTTGCCCTGTGCAGTTCACACTTTCCTTCCTTGTCGATGTAATGCCTTCCTCGAACGTCGCTAACAAGGGCTCCTCAATCCTCTCGCAGAACGACGCAACTTCCAACGCCCGGCCGAGAGTGCATAGTCTCTAGCTGCTTGTCTGAGTCTACATGCAAATTGCCGCACTGTTTCCCCCAGCTTTTGTGAGAGTGCATGAAACGAGGGCGACACAAAATCTACCTTAACGTGCGATACAAAATAAGCATTCAAAGCCCACACTGCGGCATCATAATCGACCGCGTCGCCTGTATTCAGCAAGGTGGAGAATATGTGCTGCACGTCAGGCCCCGCACGATGTAAAAGCAACGCTCTCCTCTGCTGCCTAGTCACAGCTGTTGTATCAGCATTAACTATAAGTCCTTTCTCATTGGCAAAAAGTTCAAATGATGTTTGAACCATCTCATCCATTTTGCATCTGAAATAGCTTTAAAGCACTCGAACATCAGAACACTCACTTTATCCATATTGGTAGTACTCTCCCCTACTCATGACCACCCAGTTGTCATTGCCTGTATTATATTTTGTTATGTTTATTCACCTTGAACCATCAATCAGGGTTCATTAATTGGAATCACAAATCAAATTATTATTATTAATTGAACCAGTCCAAAGTCGTCAGGATGGCTGAGTGGTCTAAGGCGCCAGACTCAAGGTTCAATACCTTCCGTAGAAGCGGGTGTTCTGGTCTCCCACTGGAGGCGTGGGTTCGAATCCCACTTCTGACACAACCTTTTCTGAAATCAGGAAAGAGACTCAGGAGCATCATGGCCAGGACTGAGAGGCTTAGGAGGACTTTCTACCTCCAGGCCATAAGGTTTCTGAACCTGAACATGCCATTGCACCTCACACCCTGATGTACATTGTGCTCTTGTATCCCTCACCAAATCCGCACTGCTACACTGGTAGCTTTATGTCTTGTTACCGTTCATTTTGAACATACTCCTCTGCTTGCATTTTTAGCTTGCTTTTTGCACTTTTTAACTTTAACAACTTGCACAGTCTACAAAAGAGCGCTTCAGGATGCATTTCACTACGTGTTGTACTTTGTATAACTATGTATGTGACAATTAAAGAATCTTGAATCTACGAGTAGAGAAGTAACCTGTGCAAATTTGTCATACGATGAACATTCCCAGATAGCAAAATCTTTCTGGCCCGGATGTGACCCACATCACGCATTTTCATCTGGCCTACATATAGCATGGAATGATGGCGATTGAGCGGACCGCTCTAGGTTGCCGCATCAGGTTGGCACATGTGGGCCAGAGCAGGGCCTAATGTTAGCCACGAGTGGGCGGGCTCTGTTTGACATCTGGCCATATTGTGGCCCATTACCAGTTTCTGAACCTCACAGATGTTAACCTCATAAGAGCTACTTTTCAACAGGAACTGCATACAGTCCCTGATCATGTGTTTAAAACCAACAAAAGTCCAACGTCTTCAAGGATTTTAAATCTGAGGGAAAAAAAAAAACAATGTCCATGGACGTCTGGTGCTGGGTGGGTTCTGTCTTCTTGAGGTGGACACGCCCTTTACATTTACAGCATTTAGCATTAGGCCCATATCCACATGCTATCTGGGTTCCATCTATAAATCCTTTAGTCACGGCAAGAGCCTGGTCATTTTGCTTGGACACTGAATATCATTAGACAGTGGACATTGTTAGGCCCTGTTAAGCCACAGTACATTGGGAAATAAAGTGCTGAATTGGAATGAAGTGTCCTGACACTACCTGCACATTAATGCTCGTAAGGATTGCTTTTTCAAGTAACCTCCTTCATTTACTACTGTATTACAGTGATGAGAACGCGAGTAGGCATGCCTTCACAAATAAACAATTCTGTAATAAATAACGATGTATTATAGTACGTTATTCTCAAAGGTTTATCCCCAAGAAAAACAAAACAAACAAAAACATGCAGTAGCCTTTTGAGTGCTAAGCATACTCCGCGCATAGCCCGACACGCCGCTGCCAGTAGAAGAACCGCGGTAGTAGAAGAAGCTTCCAGTAGCAATAAACGGAGTTCAATACATACAGTTTGTAAAGATGCGAGTGCAAAGCCACGGTGTCCGATGTTTGAAATGAGAAGCTGAAAACGGGTGTTCAGATGAGATTAGATAACCTTTGATCAAATCGAATTTATGTATATTGGCTAGGGAGTGACGGGGTGTCTAACCGGAGCGGAATTCTCGCTTCTATGCCGACTGTCACCCGCAGAAACGAACAGCCAAACCAACCTGCCCAACTCTGCCGACGCAACCGCACTGTAAACCCTGAGCTGCCGAAGCCAAACCGCTGTCCCGCAGGTACATTTAGTTCCTTTCGTCGCCACGGAGACTGAGTGACGCTCCGTCTGATCTCGGTCACTGGAACGGAAAGGGATCCGGTTCGCGCCATTAACTGCGGATTGCGCGCTAAACCCGCTGTCTGGAATACCCTCCGGTGTACCGCAGTCTGTTGTTAATCAGGCGGTGTGCGCATTCTCACGTGTTCTGAGCTTTAGAAATTAGTTTTGTCTTGATATATTGCAGTTTCGATTTATATATGTAATATTGCGACATATTTTAATTAATCGAATCTTACATTAAGCTTTAATTGAGAATGAAAAAATAAAAATACATTTTATACTACGGTATATATTGTGCGAAAAGTGATGCGTCGATGACAAATGTAGCGCCGTCCTCTCGCCACGCCTCTTTTTAAAGTTGCCTTTAAATTGGCGTTTTCCAAAGTCAGTACCATGCTAAGTAAAAAGCAATAGACGACAGGGTTGCAATAATGCGGGTGTTTCTGGCGGCTATTGTTATGGCTAAGTTGTTAATTGTATTTGGATCTAGATGTGAAAAACCATGTCCTGGTGAGTTTAACGCTCCTTGTCCATCTCCTTGTTATATAGCAGTTGTGTTAATGTCGAAGAATAATTAATTAGGCCTGCAAGTATTTGTCGTGGTTCACTGCTTGGTTGATTGATCCTTCCTTTTACGTGAACTGTGTCCCTTATCGTGCCAATGCCCATTTCTAAGTCATGGGTATGCCTAAATTGACTGACTGGGATGTTTTCCAGCTTGCCAATGGGTGGAGGATCCACATGGTTTATTCAAAATGCAACAACAAAACGCTCCAATTGCTGTCTTGTCCAGTCAAATTCCTCGATCTGACCAGAAACTCCTGCATGAATCTGAAATGGCAGCTTCTGAATGTTTAGCTAAATGGCTAACAACTTCTACTAAAGATGTTCGTCTGCCTTTGCATGCAGTTTGGTTTATTTAGTCTATCGGAATTAAGCCTATGGTATGGATTTTCCCATGTAGTCTGCAGAGCTGGTGCCTGTCCAACAAATGGGGGGAAGCTGCCATCAACATCAAGCTGTACCTGTGATTGCGACTGTCCTGGCAAATTGAAGTGCTGTGCATATGGAACTATCCGTACATGTGTGCAATCTACTTCTGGTAAGTGTCCCTGCTTTTGTGTGATCGTGTGTGTAAATGTGCTCCTTGTTCCCTAGTGACTGGGTAGGACTAGGGTGGCCACGGGCATGACTTGGCACTCACTCACCTGAGTGCCAGCTTGTAGCTGACAGGAAGTGGTGGCATCTGTATTGGTGTAATGTTAATGCCTTTGTCTGATCTTTGCTTCTGAAGGATATCCAGGTCTATGTCCCGTCATTACGACGAGTGCCACAACGTGTAAGGTTGACGGAGATTGTTCCAAGGGCTGGAAGTGTTATTCCAGTGGTTGTGGTAACCTGTGTGTACCTACAGCAGGTAATGTTGTGTGGTTGTAATTAAACCCAAAGTAATTGATGCTCTGTGGTGTGTACACGTATATAACCCCGTTGCCTACTTCCTCTACAGGGAAGCGAGACGATTGACCCCCTCAAAGGGATGTTCGGTGGTCCCAGGATTCCCGATGTCCTGTGGGAATGTACACTGCTTGTCCCTGTGACTTACGGGGGTGCTTTCTGGTGCAATTCTGAATTGTGGTCAACTGAGCAATAAATGCTTGTTTGCAAAGCTTGCTGTGGGGTGCATTTTTGTGAGCTAGAAAGGGGTTTGAGGGAACTCCCTTTGCTGTTCTCCTGTGGGTGGTGTGGCTTACTGACTGAATTCAGTTATTCAATGCAAATACACAGAACCATGCTGCTATTTTGGGATGTGGATCACTAGTCTGCTACAGAAAGTGGCTGCTCATCAATGCAATCATTGTAGCAGCTGTGTTTCAGCTCTGGTGCTGCTAACTTTGGATGCAGACAGTTCAAATATCTGCTGCCCTTAGCAGCGAAGACTTGCTGTCAAGTTATGGTAGGTTTCAACAGCTCAGCTCTTGCCCAAACTTGGAAACGGCCAGTCCAAGACTGAAGGAGGCAAGGGACAACTCAATTATTGTCTTACTTGGAAGCAAGATTAGGTCGATACCCGATTAGGTTGTTAACGTTTAAGGATAAACAATGGAAAATTTTGCCTCATAGAACCTTTAAACACTTCCAAACTAAACATCTCATTTTATTCACACACATCACTGTCGCACAAGGTGAAAGGTTAATGAAAGTCTAAAAAGCCAAGTCCAGCAAAATTAGGAAAACGCATCAAGCTGACATGAGTCACACAACATATAATGCCACTTCATTTAAATGAGCTATACTAATTATACAGACTCAAACATAAATGATAGCTTCTTTTAAGACTCAGTAAATGCTTATGACATAACACCTTAAACAGTCCTGTACTTCTCCATGAACAAGTATACTCAATTTGCGCATTCCGAACTTAATACGTTTTAAATGTCAATCTCCCTACCAGTTGCGTTTCCTGTGTGTTTGACCGTGAGCGGTAGTGTCGGGCGGGTCGGCTTTTTTTAAAATTCACCCCAAACCGACCCGCCCAACCCGCAAAAATACTCGTGGATAATGACCCAAAACCCGACCCGAGGGAAAAAAAAAAAAAAAAACACCAGTGAGCCTGTATTGCCAAGCAACCTACCAATGAAATGTAATTTGTGACACTGTAACCCATAGATGGCATAGATTTCTGCTAGATTCGCATTGAACAAGGTTCCCCCAGTTCTGGCAGAATAAATTTCCATGACTTCTCCAAAATCTTTCCAATATCACAAGAAAATTTTCAACAAGTTTGCTTTGATTTGATGATGCGTGCAGTTTCAGATAGTAATTGTCCTGCCCCGATCGTCCTCTCCTTCCGTGTGCCACGCCCCCTCGTTAACCCCGTGTGGAATCCCCGTGTGATCAGCTGTTTCTGGTTGTTGTAATTAGTCCTCTGTATTTAGTCCGCGTTTCTGTTTGTTTCCCCAGTCCGGCGGTAGTGCAACACTGACGGATGCAAGCCGCCGTTAAACGAAGAAGAAGGAAGAAGGAAGAAGGAAGAAGGAAGAAGGAAGAAGGCAGAAGGAAGAAGAAAAAAGAAAGAAAGAAAGAAAGAAGAAGAAGAGTTTCCCCAGTCCGGTCATTGTAATATCACTGCGTGTTTTCCTGCTTGCCCCCTTTTTTATTTTTATTAAATTCCCCGATTTCCTGACAAATTTCCAAAAACTTTTCCAGGTTTTCCATGACCGCGGGTACCCTAATTGAAGATGATGACACAATTTTATGCAAGATTAACTGTGTACCAAGCATCAACAAAGAAACCGAAAGATTTTTACATCGTTATTTATTGAAGGGTTGCGGAAAATTGCACGAAAGACATCTCTCTCGTACACATAGAAGCGCGCATGTATGCAAAACACACTATTTGTCAAAACTATAACATCTGATGTAACATCAGATCTGAGAACTCTGTCAGATTTGAATGAACTTAGAACTTAGGTCTTCTTTTAACTTAATTTTGTCTAAAATGAGGTAGAGCAGAGCATACTTAACCATGATATTACACCAACTAGTACAGTAGCTTGTCCTACAAATTGAAACCTCCAAAACTGAAAAATATACGCCGACCCCCTTTACAACACGTTTTGATCGATAATGAAATGCGTTTTGTAACTTTTTGATACTGATGGCAAAATCGAAACGCGTTCCGGTACGCACTGAAACCTACGTGGATTCGTGGAACATCTGATTCGAAACATTATTCCGGGCTTTATCCCGAGCGCAGGAGGTCACGTGACTTCCAAATCCGCGTTCCATTACATCACCGATTGCTTCGAATAATCGCGGGCGATTCGCACGGACTGCTTCCCGAATTGAAATGCAGTGAAACGCAACTGAATATGCGGTGGTGTTGTTATCTGTAGTCCTGAATGTATTTTCAAAATACAAACAAACAAATAAATAAAATCAAAATAAAAAATACAAATGCATTAGTTAATTCATATCGAAATCTTCACCTGATTGGTGGCTAATTAACCACTTGTCACATCGGGACCAGGACCGTCCCACAGCGGACGCAACCCGGAAGGGAACCGCCCCTTTTAGTTAAAAGGATGGTCCTGGACCAGCAGACTTTGCGGAGTATTGTTGCCATTGTTTAGATGTGCCTTGCTGCGCGTTTGATCGTCTATTGTCTCTCTCTCCTGCTTCGTGTATCCTGCCTGCCCTGTCCTCCTTGCCTGTCCCGCCTGCCCGTCCCGGACCTCCTGTCATTCTGCCTTCTGCCTGTTCCAGCCTCCTGTCCTGCCCTGCCCCGCCCCGTGTCCTGTGTGTGTAGGACTGATCCCCTTGGCTTACGACCCTTCTGCTCCGTCCTCGACTACGTCTCCAGTGCTGCCCTTTGGATTTGGTGTTTATCGGTGCCATAATAAACCGGGTGTTTCCCGCATTCTGGATCCTGACTCTGGTGTCCTGCCTGATCGTGACACCACTGACAGCCGTGAAACATTTAAAAGCTCCTCTAAACTGCAGTTCATTTGCGAAGTCTTGCCTCATTTACCTGAGTGCACTGTACCGAGCGTTACTTTGAGCATCATTGAAATGGAAGGAAGTGGAAAGCGTCCCAGGTCAGCTGTCTGGGAACACTTTGAGCTTCTTGAAGCAAAAAGGGTTAAATGCATGCAACTACTTGCTTTTTGCAACAATACCACAACAATGTGGAGACATCTAAGGACCAAACATCCTGATACCTGCATCAGTCCCAGCACAGGACCCCCCAGTGCTGAATCCAGCCAGTCTTCTGTTCATGGTATGTAAAGTTATACTTTATACAGAATCAGAAATCTTGAACTCATGCTATTTTACAACATATGTGAGTGTCTACTATTTATATGTGTTTTATAATTAATATGTATGCATGTATGTATGCATGTATGTATGTATTTATGTATGTATGTATGTATGTTTCTATACTTTTATTGTTCAGTTCTATGAATTTAGATATATAATATATATGCAATGCAAACGTGGCATGTTAACATTCCTCCTTACTCAATGTGTTTTCCTTTGTTGTTTTTGTCTTTCCCTGATAGGAAGACAAAAACAATTGGACTGCTTTGAGACGAAAAGAATTGGACTGTAAACTGCTTTGAGACGATGTGAAATTGTGCTATACAAATAAAATTGAACTGAATGGGCAAGATTGCTGGCTGGTGGTGTCTGTGTTCATTTGAAGCTGCTCCCTCCTTTCACTGCTCATTTGACCCGAAAATTATGAACTGGGTGCCACTAGAATTTCTAGCCCTATGAAAGCATATATTGAGCCCCCGACAAATACATCTAGGTTTTTATTTTTTTTAGCGTCCGACCAATGCAGGATTTACTGATTAGATTCCTCTAATTGTCATTGTACAAATATACAATGAAATTGCATTGCACCCACATAAAGAAAATATGGCTCCTATCTTAAAGTAAATAGAGTAATAAGCCTTAAGTAAAAGAAATTGGTTGCATGCATAGTAATTTTGAAAGTACCAGCAATGTGCTGTTAACATAAAGTAGTAACTGGCATAAAATAAGGATTCATGTCATTCCAAAATCAATGTTTTGCAACTTCATAGCATCATTCTCTGTGGTGATGGCCTTTGTGTAAAAACTGTTCAAGAATCTTGTGGTGTGTGTTTTTATTGTCCTGTATCGTCTGCCTGATGGCAAAAGTTGGAAGAGATTATGGGCAGGGTGGGATGAGTCCTTTATATTCCAGGGTAGGTAGGTGTGTGTTGGTTTTTTCTCTGCAATTCTGATTACTCTCTACAGGGCATTTTTGTCAGCTGCAGAGCTCCTGCTGTACCACACCAAGATACCATAGGTCAGGACGCTCTCGATGGAGCAGTGATGGAAAGACACCAGCAGATGTTGTGGCAGGCTGATTTTCCCGAGAACTCTCAGGAAGTACAGTCTTTGCTGCACCTTCCTGATCAAGCAATTTGTGTTGTACGTCCACATGAGGTCCTCCGATATGTATGTGCCCAGGAACTTGAATGGTGACACCCTCTCCACAACTTCCCCATTTATCACCAGAGGCTGGTGATCCACCCTTTTCCTCCTAAAATCAATGATGAGTTCCTTTGTTTTCTTGGTATTTAAAATCAGGTTGTTAGCTGTACACCAGTCTGTCAATCTATGAACATCCTCCCTGTACGCTGTCTCTTTTCCACTGCTGATCAGGCCCACCACAGTTGTGTCATCAGCGAATCTCATGATGACATTAGTATTGTGGGTTGGATTGCAATCGTATGTATACAGGGAGTAGAAGAAGGGACTCAGGACACAGCCTTGTGGGGCTCCTGTACTGAGAACAGGGAGAAGGAGTGGTGGGGGCCCATCTTGACAGACTGTGGTCGGTTGGTTAGAAAATCCTGTATCCAAAAGCAGATGATATGGTGGATGCCTATGTCGGACATTTTGTGGAATAGTCTGTTTGGAAGGATAGTGTTAAATGCGGAGCTATAGCCCACAAATAACAACCTTGCATATGTCCCTGGTTGTTACAGGTGGACCAGAACGGCATAAAGAGCAGTTGAGATGGTGTCATCTGTTGATCTGTTGGTTCTGTATGCGTATTGACGGGGGTCCAGTGTTGGTGGGAGAGCAGCCTACAGACACTGATTTCAGTATTTAAAAATCTGATGTTGGGCAT